TTAATGTCTCTACATAATTTAATATATGTGTTTAAATCTTCATGTCTCCATGGTCTAATGACCTCTCTGCAGTAATGATTTGCTTGGTCATAAGCCAGTTGTTTTATTAATGGCATTTCTTGTTCTGTATCACCCAAAATTCTGGCAGCTGTTTGAATAAGCCTATCTACAAATTCAGCGTAAGGTTCATTAGCTCTCTGTATTACCTTAGATAATTGAACTTGTAAATCTCCATGTCCTTGTAAAGTCTTCCATGCCCTAACTGTGTCTGCAGCAATTTGTGCATATATAGCAGGATCATATTCAATTTGTTGCCGTTGACCCTCATAAGGTCCTTTTCCTAACAACATATCTAGATTTCTTTGAGGGTAACTGGCTGCTGCATTTCGCCTAGCTGTCTCCGTGCAAAATTCCTCATTGGCAACCTTCCATAACAAATACTGTCCTCCATTTAGCACAGATTTACACAAGATAGCCCAATCTGCTGGCGTCATGTCCAAGTTGGTATTGGATTCGACCATGCTTATGGTGAAGGGTGCTTGTGGACCATAGGTTGTTACAGCCTCCTTTAATTGCTTCACTGTTTTGAAATCTAAAGCACGGTGAACTCATTGCCCTCCTGCCTGCTCAAGTACAGGGCATGCTAATCTTTGAGGTTCTGCCTCAGGATTCCATCTATCAACTATGGGGGTTGAGGGCCACTCAGCTGTCTCTATAGATGGAGCTGTTGGTTGAATTACGCCCACTGGTGATAGGATGGAGTTAGTAGCAGCCTCCTATTGCAGCTTCCCTCCTGATAGCTGTTTGTCCTCTAAGCTTTCTTCCTTTAAATTTTCTTCTTCTATCTGACTAGCCCGAGAGACCTTCTCTTTTGCTTGATCTAACATGTTTTCTACCATAGTCTGGACCTCTAACAATTTACTTAACACTCTTTTGGTTTGTTTTTTACTAATTTCTAATCTACTATAAAGATAACGCAACCCAATAAGATAACATAAAACAAAACCGAAACAGAATGAAACAAAAAAGGAACAAAAAATCGTTGTATCAATTTTCTCTTCCTCAGGGCCAAACAACTTCAAACCTTGAGCCAACCATTTTTCCCAGTTTGCCTGAGAAAGTTCTATGGATAGGCAGCTTGAAACATAAACAAAATAAATCAAAACAAGAACACATTGTTTTTTGAAATGGTCACCCATTCTCTCGCCTTCCCTCAGGGGCGAGCAATTTTACTTACCTCGGAGCTTCAGGCGTCCCCCGCACGGGCCACCAAATGCTGCAGTCTGGCTGGGCATAAAATCATGAGCCACTCAAGCAGGAACAAACTTTATTTTTGAAACTCCCACCAATGCCATGCACGCTACCGGGAAATATGCCGAACCACACACGCGGCGTTCTCCTGGGCCACACTACACCAACAGGAAATCCCTCCTCCAGAATTCCCTTCTACCACACTTCCCCAACCAATGGGAACTCTCCGGGAGTCCCACTAGAGCTCCAAAGTAGCAGGCCGAGGCAGACAGCAGGGGTCTAATATCCAATTGAATGTAGATCTTAACATAATCATATCATCTCAATGGCTTGCTGGCGTCACCTTTCAACCAAAAATGCCATGCATCATTCCTACTTGGCTATGGCTCTTGGCAATTATCTTTTCTTCTAGGCATAAAGGTTCTGTTAAATATATTCTATAATGCTGGTTTGGCTCCATGAATTTCCTGTCTGTGCTTACCTTGAAGGTTTTTATTTTTTCTTCTATTGGAAAATATAATGTTGCTTGGTTGACAGTTATTTTTGTCAGGGTTTGGTATACATTGTTCTGTGCTCTTCTGACCTTTAAAATTTCTGCAGAGAAATTTTCAGTTATTCAAATAAACTTGCATTAACATGTGACTTGGCACCTTTATTTTGAAGATTTTAATATTCCTTGTTCTGAATTTTTAACCACAAGATATCATGGCAATGTTCTTTTTCAGTGATGTTAATTTGGGGTTCAAAATGCCTTCTGTATTTGTAAGTCCGTGTCTTTCACAAGATTTGGGAAATTTACATTATCATTTCATCAGATAGGTTCTATGCCTTCAACCTGTAGCTCTTTGCCCTCATCTATTCTGATTATGCATATCTTGATTCTTTTAATGGTGTTCCAGAGATCTTGTGTATTTTGTTCATTATTTTTTCCCTTCTTACTTTCTGAATGTGATTTCATTAGACTTGTCTTTAAGCTTTGATATTTTTGTTCACTTATTGTATTTGTGAGGCTTTCAGTTAAGATATTTTTACTAAAACTTATTTAATTTGACATTTTCAAGATTTGTTTTTTCTTTCTCAAAGTATCTATTTCTCCTATGAATTTCTCATTCATACCCTTCACTGTCTTCCTTAATTCATTCAATTGTGTATCTGTATTCTCTTCAAATTCATCAAAATTTTATAAAATAATTATTTTGAAGTGTTTATTCAGCATTTTATTCATTTTGATAATTTAGGGATCTGTATGGAATTATATAGATTAGAGATGGAATATTGCCTTTTTAAAATATTTATTATGATTTAGACTAAGGTTTGTTTGTCTCTTCCACTTTTATGTGAGGGTCTTCTTAAAAGGTGACTCAATTGGACTTTATAGGGTAATCCCCCATGGTTTCTTTGGCTGTCATTAATGGGCTTTGAAATGATATATTCTGTACTGGAGCCTGAGCAACCCATTTTCTCTGTAGGTCATGGAACTTTGGGGGCTTTCTGGTAATTTATAATGTTGTGGCATAGATACAGAATATATAGGGTGTAACCTTTATGGTTAGTTTTATAAGAGGAGTGGAAGTTCCAGTTAAGTGGTGAGAGTTTCTATGAACACTATTGATGTTGCCTCTATTACTTGAAAGTGATTCCAATTTTACCATTTTAATCATGGTGAAGGGCCTAAAGCTTCCATTCTCTATTTAGTCACTAGTGTAGTTCCTGGTAATTCACATGGAGAGATGACAATTCAGAGGTCCCCCTCTATGACACTTCCATCCATTCTTGTCAGTGATGTGTGATCTCATAGAATATGGTCCAACCTATGCTGAAGAATAGATGTGGTGTCCACAATAGATGTGTTATTTCTCTTGGCTCTTACTGTGGGTCTGACTGTTTAGGAGACACCCAAGTTGGGCACACCTGTGAGTATATTATTGGATGAGTATTTTGTTCCCCACAATCTTTAACTTCAAGTGTCTGCAAAGGTTTGGATGGGAACTAAGTTGTGACTGGAGGATTCTTCTCAACTGGCCTGGGAGTGTAGTTCACTGGCACAGCTCATACTTTCTGTGTTTCAACTCCCAGACTCAATTGCTATCTCTGCAAAACATAACAACAAAAGCAACAGCAATGATGATAAGAAAGGAGAGGAAAGAACATATGGAACAAAATAAAAAGGTAAACAAAAGAAGAGAAAATTAAGATTTTTTTTTTTTTTACAAAATATATAAATAATAAAACAAGCAGTTACAAAAAGCACCACAGAGAAAGGTAAAAATGTAGAATACAATAAAAAGATTTTAAAAAGGTAAGGAATGCAGGAGAAAACAAAAAAAAGAAGAAGAAGAAGAAGAAGAAGAAAGAAAATAATAACTAAAAGAGAGAAATGAGGTGGTCACCAGGGTACTCCTGTAATCCCAGTGTCTCAGGAAGCTGAGGCAGGAGGGTTGTGAGTTCAAACCGAGCCTCAGTAATTTACTGAGGACTTGTCCCAAAATGAAAAATAAAAAGAGTGGGGATGTGACTCAGTGGTTAAACACCTAGGTTCAATCCCTAACAATGACAAGATGTCATTAATGATCTAACTCTGACAAAAAATGACAAACAATGACAAAAATGTGGGGGGATAGTGAAAAAGGAAAAAAAAAAAAGGAAAACAAAACAAAATTTAAAAAAAAATAGAGTGATGGCTAGAAGTTATTCACTCCCTAATTCCCTAATTCTTTTCATTGTGGTGCTTACCAGATGAATGTCAGGAGTAATTTTTTTATGAAACATTTGGCAGTTTCTCTCAGCTGCTTTGCCTCTGGTAAGGAGATATTATGGAAAGTGAAACTCACTAGGCCACAATTTTCTCCACAGTCTCTTGGGATCAGCACCTTGCAGGGCCTCACCTTAATAGGTCAGCCCCAAATGCTGAGCTCACTAAGTAGTTTCTTTCCAGAGCAAGACAAACACTGAGGTGTGTCTCTGTGCTCCACTGTAGATGGAGAGAGGATTCGGATCTGTGAAGATGTGTGCAGGGAAAAGGGATAGAAATTGTTATCTGCCTCCCACTAACCCACAGCAGAGTTAGATAATTAATGAAATCTTGTCTGTTTGTTCCCATAGGTATAATAGCAGATCTCCCGAACCACCAATTTCATGGAAAGCACCTTCTGCCTCAACTCCATCCATCTGAATCCATCTCAGCATATTATGTCAGTCATTCCTCTTGGTTGAAACAATTTCTTGGAATGGCCACCCACTGAGCAACTGCAGAAAAGAGGACATTGGCTGTTGAAGATTAAAAAAAAAAAAAGAGTAAGGTCTTCTAATAGGACCTTTCTCAAGATGATTTTCAGTTATAGCACTAAGTGAATACTCTGAAAAATAGAAGATTTCTTGTCCAGTGCGAGTTTGCTATGTAGACTTTAGGTCTCTTGTCTATTTAGACTATGTTTGCAAAGTGACATATTCTGTGCCTATGGAGATCAAAGGGACTCATTCTCTTTCACCTATATCCTGCGGTAGTACTTCCCTTTCTATGCCATGCTGCAGTGTGCTTAGTGTTGGGGTGTTCTTACTATTCTAATATCTAATAATTTTTGTTTTCTCCTGTTCAGTGACTACTACTGAACTATAATGCTTTTCTATGACTCTCTGACTCAATGTACAGCTATATAGCTGCTGTTTAGGTTGTATCTCTGGAGAAGTACGTAAGTGCTGAATGCCTCTAATTAGTCATTTTCTCTTGTGCTCTGTACTAGGTAGATACTAAAATTTGGTTTAATCTACTGAACGGACTGCAAACTTCTTAGAGTTAGTTTACCCTTGGGTTCAACACTAATTCTATTTCCTATTATGACAAAGATGGATCAAAAGAAAACAGTAACAGAGGAGCTTGACTAGGTAAACCCAAATTGTGATAGAAACCTAGCTGACCTCTCTGGGCTTTGAGTAAGTACTCTTTCTAAAACTCTTTTTAAAAATTATTTGTACCTTTTAGACATAGATGACAGTAATTGTATGTGACATGTTATATCTATATGGAGTAAAACTTATTCTAATTAGGATCTCCTTCTTGTGGTTGTACATGATATGGAATTACATCAGTCATGTATTCACATAGAAGCATAGGAAAGTTATGTCCCATTTATTCTACTGTCTTTCCTATTGCTATCCTCCCTCCCTTTTCTTCATTACCCTTTGTCTAATCCACTGAACTTCTATTCTTCTCTTTTCCCACCTTGTTGTGTGTTAGCATCTATATAGCAGAGAGAATATTCCACCTTTGTTTTTTGAGGATTGGCTTATTTAACTTAGCATGATAGTCTCTATATCCATCCATCTTGAGCAAATAACTCTGGGGGGAACTCAATAAATATTGTAAAATGTTATAAAACAATGGGGAACATACAAAGAGAAGGCAAGTCATCATCTGATGTAATGGGGATGGATCATGATCTATGTACATAATTGGATTCAGATGCATGCAAATAGAGCTAACAGGTATGGCATAAGAAACTAGCAAAGGAAGTTTGACTGTAAAAATGATGAAGTTCTATGGCATTGATCATTTTTGTTACTTCACAACTGTAGAGTAGCTGTTGATGGGTAAACTAATGTGAATTTTCCTGCTAATATTGAGAATGGTGCCCTTCACATTTAAAAAAAAAATATTCTGAAACTACAGAGAAACATATCAAATCATTGAAATAATCTAGAAAATAGCAGATATTTTATTTAAATACTTCAGATTTAGTTTATTGATTATTTCCTATTTGCAATTGGAAGATTTAGCTCTCATACTTCCATGAATACAGAGAAGATGTTATGCCAAAAATAGGCAACAAACCTAATGTCACTACTGACAGAAATATAGGAATATATCAATAAAAAATTTAAAATTCTCAACTCATAGCTTGGATTAGAGAGGAATATATTTGGTAAAAATTATTGATATGAATAATTTTAGCATTTAGGTGGAGGAAAAAGTATGATGATTTTATCATAGATTTACAAAGGAAAAGTATGAACAAGGCCATACAATATTTGAAAATTTGAGTTTTGAATAATTGTTCAGGACAGGAATAAGTAAAGATGTCCATTCTGAAGACACATAGAATTATGAAAGTTAACAGTTTGTGGGATTCACAATCTCACATAATAATCAAAATAAACAATGTATGTTCATTAAGTAAATTATTAGGTTGTATTCAAATTTTTAAAAATCTTATAAATTAATGGGTCATCTCACATACTGAAAATCTTTTATCATATAGGATAATCTATTATGCTGAGAATGGTAGATTTTCATGATTTTATGAATAGTTTTGATGCTAAGGTATGCTATGCTTTTTATTTTCAACTGAAAAGTATGGGAGAAAAATAAATTAACAAAATCTCACTGGGGCATGGTTTCAAATAATATATTTACCAAATACAAATTCACAAAATGTATATACAATAATAAACAAACTATGGGAGTATGACAAAGTGGGAGGTAGCAATTTCAATAAATAATTAAATCAGTATTAAAATCCTCAGATTATAATTGTGTTAAGATTTGATACTGACCAATATCCATTATATCCAAATTATACACTCATTGATTACAAGTTCTTGAGACCAAGGTCTTATGTGTCTAGACCTTATAGATCATTTTGCTGATCACAGTCATTCAAAATATATTTATCAAATAAATTATTAGGTTACATCAAATTTGGTTACTTTAATCTTGTTAGAAATAAATGGGTCATCTCACAGACTGAAATCTTGTTGTACAGGATAATCTATTATAATATTGCCTGTGGGATTTTGTAACAATAAATCTCATAAAAACATTCTTATGAAGTCCTAATTTATTTAGGCCACAACTAGGGTAATTCTCTGTGAATGGTTTCTATGTAAGAAGATTGAAGACAATTTGTAATCAGGTATTGGTAAATGGTAAAAGGAATCTGGAGCAATTTAGGTGAAGACTGAAACCCTGAAACCATACTTAATAATAAGTTAAAATAAATGAAGATAGAAAGTGGTAAGTCATTTTTAAAATTTTATTGTTGAGAAAAAAAATAACAGGACTATTCTAAATAGAATATCCTGGATATGAGATTGATATTTCTGATTGTGTTAAGATGACTGGCAAAAATAAATCCTGAAATTAATGTGTGGATAACTTATAATAAGACTTTGGTGTTTTATTAGTACAGTAGCACTGTCCTTCATGTTATATTTCATGAAAATTTGCCACTTTTACCTAAAGCCCTGAGTCTAAAGTAGCCTGTCTATCTTTACTGACTTGGCAACGAAATTACAACAAGAAGACACTTCTTTTCCAGGTGGGTCTTTCAATTATCATGATTCAGCATGAAATACTTGCTGCCTGTACCTAGAACTCCAACTAGGGCTTGAGGCTGTACCCTCCTTACTATTGCTACTTCCTTTGCTGGTCTCCCCACATCCCAGAGGAACAATGCACTGCTTGGGAAGATGTTGCCGGTCCACTTCCTGTGAACAGTTGTGAGTCACTGGTAAGCTGCTGCAATTTTCCTGTGGTACCCATGTTCTTTTCAAGGAAATCTAAAGTTCAGTGTTGAGATAAAGGAATTCCCTTCTTTCTTTCATCGATATATCTGATCTGACAAGTTATATGGCAATGTTTAATTAGCAATACTTGTCTGTCTGTGCAAAAGCCATGGAAAGCAGGGAGTATCAGAATTAAAAAAAATCTTTTAAAATTTGATTTCATTATATCATCCTGAGCATATAAGGAATGAAAAAAATAGTATTGCTATTTAAAACATGGCTATCATTTCTACAGCACCCGTCCTTACACACCCACTAACTATTGGTCAAATTCTTTCTTTGGAACCAACATTTGGAGTCTCTTATTCACAGTATACATAGAAAATGATTACTTTCTGCTTGCTACCTTAGCAGAATAATTGGAACAAATACATTTTAAGACTCACTCCAAGTGGTTCATTTGCAAGTATAAGTAAGTTGCTCGATGGATTTGGAAGTGTATCTTTTGTATGGCCAACTGTTCTTTTCTTAAAGTTAGTAAAGTTTCACAACTTTGAGGTTTGTGAAAAGGGAAAACTGTAATTTTAGCAGACAGTGTTGTTCTTAGGCGTGGACAAACTTGGGTTCTTGCCCAGCCTCCCAACTGTAGGATTGTGCTTCTCTGAAGCTTGCCAGGGCCTCTGTTTTCTGCTAATAGACCACAAGTTTTCTCGTGCGTTTTCTATTGTAAAGGATGATAAAAACAGATTCTTACAGAAAACTCAGTAGAAATGTACACTGCTTATACCAGAAACACCGAAAAAAAATTCTTATTTTAGTATTCATGGCATTTTTCTTTTTTTTCTTTTTGTCTTTTTGGCAGAAAACAGAAGCACAGGCTGGCTCGGCTGGCACCTCAGCTCAAAAAAAAAAAAAAAAAAAAAAGGAAGGAAAGAAAGAAAGAAAAAGAAAAATCAGAAGAATCACAAGAAAGGAAATCGAGGTACAGATGCCAGATGGTGCCAATCATTCTCAAAGCCTCCATGATGAAAGGTTCAATTGTAATACTTAGGGACTGAGCAGCCATCCCTCTGATGAAAGGTTTTTTTTAAAGATCACTTCCTCAGGTTAGGTTAGGGAAAGGAGACAGGTTGGGGAAGACTATTAACAAACAAATAAATAAATAAAATAAGAAAGATTAAGTCATCCAGAAGGTGAAGGACTTCATGGAAAAACAACAACAACAACAACAAACTGGGTAATCTGCAAATCTTTGAATAATTATTCTAAGTCCAGTCTAAGCCCCTTTTTGATTCTTTTAGGTAGACTTCCAACAAAGTAACTATGAAAATGACAGGTACATTAGGCAATTTGATTAATAAACTCTTCCAAAATGTTTAAAATACTTAAAGACCAGAGTAGAATACCATAATTATTATTGATGCCTTATCATAGACGCAAAATTTTCCTTAGTGAATCTCAGACAGTTATATGAAAGGAATACTTGTCTCACTTAACATCCATCAATAGTACAAAATGAAAGCTTTTAGTCATAACTCTAAAATATTTGCATTCAGTTTCAAAATAATACCAAGCAAGCACCAAAGGAAACAGAGTGCATCTCTTAATAACCAGTCACTAAACTATTACATAGTGGTAAAATTGGGTTTTCTTAGTAATTTAGTAACTGTATTAGCTGTAAAAATACTATAAGTTATTGTCAGTAATATCTGATTGCTATAGAGTTAAGTATGCCTTCTCAACTTTAGGAGCCTTTTGAAATCTGTCATTTTTGAGAGTCAGAATAAGTGATTTTCTATAAGTTCTCCAAAGAGATTTATTCCTTCCTTCCTTCCTTCCTTCCTTCCTTCCTTCCTTCCTTCCTTCCTTCCTTCCTTCCCTCCTTCCTTCCTTCCTCTTTCTCCCTTTCTTTCTGTCTTTCTTAAAGACCTTCTTTCTTTTGGTGGGTGGTGGAGGTACCGGGATTGAAATCAGGGGCACTCTCAAACACGGAGCCACATCCCCAGCCCTTTTTGTATTTTATTTAGAGACAGGGTCTTATTGAGATACTGAGTGCCTCACTCTTGCTGAGGCTGGCTTTGAACTCGAGATCCTCCTGCCTCAGCCTCCTAAACTGCTGGGATTACAGGCATGTGCCATGGTACTCGGCTTAAAGATAGCTTTCTTTTTAAAGAAAGTTTTAAAGGCTGATTAGAAAACATCAAAGGGATGCTAGGAAAATCATATTGAATGTAAGCCAATCATAGACTTTGGTGAACACATTCAATTGATTTAAAATATCCTTCATCTAGATACCTTTCCATTCTCTACCATATTCTGAGTCTAGCACTGCAAAGCAGTGTTCACCTCCTCCACAAATGATCCTCAGCATCCAGCTCTCAGGATGTCCGCTTTAGCCTTCAGATGGAGATGTCTCCCTCTAAAATTCTCATCTAATAGCACCTGTTCAGTCCAGTTTCTTCAGGTCTTTGTTAAATTGCAGTGATAGCTGTGATACAAGCTTCTCTGACTAAATCTATCCTGCTGACTCAGTATTGCTGATATTCATGTTCTCAGGGGCACAATGGAGATAATTTACCTACAGACATGTTTCTGATCAAGGGAATCTGAAAGTCTTTGGAGGACAATAAGAGGGATTTGGGGAAAGTCAGGATCATCTATCAATATTAAATTAAAGTTTACCCTCAGTATCATTTGGGGATTAGTTCCTTGATTCCTCCAAACACCAAAATTCTCAGATGCTCAAGTTCCTTATATGAAATGGCAAAGTATTCTACATAACTTATATACATCTCCTATACATTTGGATGCCTCTCTAGATTACTTGTAATAACTAATGTATGTAAATGTGAGAGTTGCTATTGTTTAGAGAATAATAATAAGAAACAAAGTATATAATTTTGAGATTTCTTCCCTTTATTTTATTTTTTTTGCTTCCTTTCCTTTAATGTTTTCCATCCATGGTTGGTTGAATCTGTGGATGTGGAGCCTCTAGATACAGAGGGCCAACTGAATATCACTCTGGATCATAACCTCATATATATGAGAGCCATACAGGTGTCATAAATTAGGGAGTATGGATTAAGGGGATTGTGGTAAACCACAAAACTAACACTGTGTTGAAAATTGCTGGTTCTATTTAATTTCCATTGGTTATTACCATACATAATTAATAAAAAATATTAATATTATCAAAAATATTATCAAAAGAAGTTAGAAGTCTAGATTCCCTAATGAATCTCCCAGTTTTTAATATTCACTTATTTTAGAATTAGTCATGTGAAAATTGATAAAAAACATATCTGAAGACTGAATATGCCCTTGACCATCATTTTGTTTAGAGGAAGAGGTCAACATGAAAGACACTCTGGGAAAAGGTTAGCAATATGTACATTGAGTGGGACGAGGGACAATTAAATGATGGGCACAAAGAAAGACCGCCAAAGCTCCCCAGAGTAAAATAGATTAGATTTGCATCACCCCAGTGCTATTCATTAACAAAGCAGTTGGCAATATTTATAAATTTAACAGGTTTCAAAATAATTTGAAAGCAAATGGTTGATTAAGAATTGAAACTTTTATAATAAATAATAATTAAGTAGATTACAATATTTTATTTAAACCAAAGATCTTTTCTACACACGATCCACTCACCTGATTGTTTCTACATGATTTAGCATTAGTGAAAATAGAATAAAGGTTTTTTTTGTTTGTTTTTGTTACCTAATTTTTTTTACAGCAACAACAGAGAGAAACTAACAGGCCAGTTTTACTGTTCACAGGTACTTGTATGGCATACAACAGAGGCATACAATGAAGACATCCTTCATACAACGTTGCTTTTCATCTTGATTGCCTTTTTTCATTATCAAATTAAAGTTTATATTTGCTAATCTACTTTCTATAGTAAGACTTAATAAGGAGGCGATAGATGAAAAAGTTGAGGTAAAACAAAAAGAGTAAAATACAGAGATCCTAGAAATAGTGTGAACACATTATCCAATATTAGGCAAGAAAATGAATTATTTAATGTCACTGTCTATTAACCTAGCAGTTAAAATAGGACCAAAATATACATAAAAATGAAATAAAACAATTAGGTAACACTTTAAATGGTTCATTATTATTAATTCATTTAGTATTCATTGTAACTATGCTGGCCATAATGAATTCATTTGATATTAATGGGAACGTTCAGCAGCAATTTCATTATAATGCAGTTTTAATTCATGTGCCATTAAAGTAAAGCAGTGCCAAAATTTATATTTATTTTCTGAATCCTGTACATGATCACTAATTTTTAGAAGCATTATGACACTAATTGTATTTCTTTAAATTGGGGTGAATAGCCCAGATTTAAGATAAGTTGCAATGTCTGCCTTGTACACTAATAATGCTAAAGTTGATGGAGGTTTGTGTAATTAAAATGTTCTACAACATTTGGAAAATACAGAGGTTAATAGTTACTATATTTGTCACATGTCAATATTTACCGATATTTAACTGTTTCATGCTACTTAAAATTTTCAACAGATTGCCTTTAATATTATAATAACTAAGATGTTTTGGACTTTATATTTTACACTTTTGTGAAAAGCTTGTGCTAAATTACACATGTTGGGCATTTCATGGGAACAAACAGATTTTAATCATTTCTAAAGATATTTATTCATACCAAAAATCTTGTAATAAAAACTTGAGATTTTTTTTGTGAATGGCACTAGATTATTTATGCAGAAAATTGGGGAAAACCTACAGAGAATTTCTCTGTAGATTTACAACCATAAGGTTTTAATTAACAACTTCAAAATGGCAGCAAAAATGTACTCAGTAGCATATTTACTATTACTTTCTCCAGAGGCAGACTGTAAACAATTTTGCTTAACTGCATGAGAACTAATGACAACAGACAAACAAACAACTAAAATCCACAGTCCAATTAATAGGCCCACTAAAAGAGCACTGGACACTTAAGGCAGTAATTCAGCTAGGCATCAAAAAATAGCTGACCTACAAATTCCTTATTTGAAATTTTGTGCTTTAATAAATTGTTCACAGGCTAGATAGCCTAAAGATATATGTGTATGTAATTTGTTCTTTTATTCATTATTGTGGAAATAATTAATTGGAATAGTTATTTTAAAACGGCAAAAGAAACTGTGTTCTCTTTCTAAACTCCACTACAAATTAAAAATTGTTTAGAAGCAGCTCTTATAAATTAACATTGCTACTTTTCTTGCTACTGAAATAAATCATAAAAATTAATTAATAAAAGTCTTATGAAAATGTAAAGTAATTCATTAAGCTATTATAAGCTAATAATACTTTAAATGATGTACCCTACTTATTTTGTTTTTCATTCTTTCTTTTTTTTTTTTTTTTTTGGTATATGAGTCTTACAACGTGTCCCAGAGCTGACCTCAAACTCTTGAGCTCAAGTGATCATCTCATTTCAGCCTCCAGTAGCTGGGACTACAGGTATGCACCATTCTACCCAGCATACTGTACTGTCTGAAATAGTGAAAATATTAGGCTAAATCTATAAAATAGAAGATTAAAAACACTGATTATAAGGGAATCAGAATAACTATCTCTCAAAGAAGAAAAACCAAGAGCACCCATTGTTCAGCTTGCTGTGTGGAGGAAGTTTCTGGATTACAGATTGAGAGGAATAACCAAATGGGGCTCAGCCAGTCCTCTGAGTTGATAACATAAGCTTACAGTTAATAGTCAAGGTAGTAAGATTTCACAGAGAAAAATTCTATACAGGAGACAATTGGAGAGATACCCAGAGAGAAACAGACAGAGACAAATCAGAGTCAAAGACAGACCCAGAAATCAACCTAGAGTGGGTCCTTGTGAGCCTTCATCTGAGGATCAATCAGTATGTCTGTGTGAGAAAACTACTCAGAG